AATATTGAGAAGGCGGTGGCTGAAACGGGCATGAGATTCTTATGCGAACGCCTTCCGCAGTTAATCAAAGACCTCAACCACGTAGGCATCTTGATCACGAACCTGCCGCTTAAATCTCCCCGCTACCGCTGGTTCAGTTGGGAGAGCATTTGATTATAAAGACGTCTTGAGAGCGAACCCTATACTTGCTCCAGCATTTGATCCCCTCCCATTTCCTGCTGGGAAGTCGACATGTTTCGCTGGCACAACGTGCTTCCGCGGCCTCGGAGTTTTTGAATGCACTTTTATTGCATCGCCAGCGCCCAGCAACTGAGCTGAACCACTGAGCCTACCAATTACTGTTGCGGCCTTGTTATCACTGCTTAAGCTGCACCCTCGACGGATGTTGCGTATTGGTGCGGAACCGAGCAACTTGAAGCGTGCCAGACTATCAAAAAAAATACGAAAGAAACCGTATAGTGGCGTAGATGGCGCGGAGGCACGTGGGTGGCGCAGCAGTTCGCCTTTAATGTTGCCAATAAACGGACGTCTTTCTTTCAGGTCTGGGAAACCACTCATTTCGCAACAGTTATTTCGACGAGTAAACACAATTCCACGGAGTTCGTGAGCTCTGCGTCCTGCATGCAGGCTACACAGGAGAAATCACTGTTGTCGTCGTCGAGGACAATTCACTCGTCGTTGTTAATTTGGAATACCTGGGGCTGACAGCAGGAGACAAAGCTGCTGCTTGTACGTTACGAGCTGCCGTTTCTCCGTGACATAAGACTATATAAATGCGAAGCATTTCTTCGCGAACCTCGTCGACGTTGACCGTATCTATCTATCTATCTATCTATCTATCTATCTATCTATCTATCTATCTATCTATCTATCTATCTATCTATCTATCTATCTATCTATCTATCTATCTATCTATCTATCTATCTATCTATCTATCTATCTATCTATCTATCTATCTATCTATCTATCTATCTATCTATCTATCTATCTATCTATCTATCTATCTATCTATCTATCTATCTATCTATTCGCCTACGACTTCTAGCTCTCCTGGTTGTTTTTATAATGGTATCTAGACCAAGATTGGTATGACATAACGCGACTGTACGACGAGCATAACTGACTAGCCGCAACATGAAAATCGTTACGTGTATTTCATGATTGTAATGATTTACATTTCAAGGTCTTGCTGCTCTTGCGGTGGTTTCGTTCGCATGGCATATTCCAAAACGGGTAAAGTACTACATAACTGCATGGCGAACAAAAGTGACAGAACCATACGCGGAAATCATGACATGCATGTCATGTCAGTCATGACTACACGCAACACGCTTTGTGCGCATTGTGCGCAACACGCATTGTGCGCCCGCGGTCGTTTCGCTAGCTTCACATATACCAAATTTAGTATTACTGGACGTGAATGAATGGCGAAGGTATATGACTGATGCAAACATGATAATCATGAGATGCGTGTCATGTAAGAACACGACTACATGCTACGCTCATAGTTGGCTCGCGGCCGTTTCGATAGCTTCTCACATACCAAATTTGGTGTCACGTGACGTAAACGAACGAGGAAGAAATGATGCGTCCAAACATGATAATCGTGACATGCGTGTCATATAAAACGCGACTACATGCTACTCTCATAATGCGCTTGCGGCCGTTTCGCTAGCTTCACACATACAAAATTTCGTATCACGTGAAGTGGATGGACGACGAAGGCATATGACTGGTGCAAACATGAAAATCATGACATGCGTATCATATAAAACGTGACTACATGCTACTCTCATAGTGCTCTCGCCGCCGTTTCGATAGCTTCATTTATATAAAATTTGGTACTAGGTGACGCGAATGGGTGATGAAAGTAAATGACGAGTCCAAACATGATAATCATGACATGCCTGTCATATAAAATGTGACTACATGCTACTCTCATGGTGCGCTCGTGGACGTTTCAGTAGCTCCACATATACCAAATTTGGTGTCACGCGACATGAATGAACGACGAAGGCATATGTCTGATGCAAACATGAAAATCATCACATGCGTGTCATGTAAAACATGACTGCATGCTACGCTCAGAGAGAGCTCGCGGCTGTTTCGCTAGCTTCACATTATACCAAATTTGTTGTCACGTGACGTGAATCTACGACGAACAATAATACCATGCGCAAACATTATAATCATGACATGGAAGTCATCTATTGCATAATTGACATCCGCCTTGTAACGTTGTGCCGATTTTAAAGCGACATATAAACCTTCCTCATTCGTGCTTCGCCCATCATGAATTCGCACTTTACGTGTGATCTACCGTTTTTTTACACGTCATTCCGAAACTGCGCCTTCAGTATCGAAACTTCGTTCCTTTTTTTCCAAGTAGCGGTATTGAAAATATATTCGAGACACCATGCATAATACGATATTTAGGATTATTAATGCTAGTAGTTTAGTTTAGAGCAAGCATACGAAAATATTTAAAATGTGTGTCACTAATCCTTTATTTTAATGGCTTTTTCTGCCGCCAATCTCACTTTCTTTTCCTGTGAGGTTGCTGTAAAGGCCAAGCGCTCTGCGGTCAAGTGGAGACATCACGATATGCTCTACGCTTACGCCGACTTGTTCTATCGCCTTCTCTGCGTTTACCAGTGAGGATCGATGCAGCATGATAGCATTTACATAACCTATATATTGACTATATACCTATAACCTATAACACTAAACCGTCTTTGTAAGTCTCCAAGTTTCTGCTCCATATTTACTTATGGAGCAGAAACTTGGAGACTTACAAAGAGGGTTCAGCTTAAATTGAGGACGACGCAGTGAACGATGGAAAAGAAAATGATAAGTGCAACTTTGAGAGACAAGAACAAACCGGGGTTAAGGATATAATAGTTAAAATCAAGAAGAAGTGGACATGGCTGGGCATGTAGCGCGTACGCAGGATAACCGCTGGTCAATAAGTGTAACAGACTGGATTCCCAGAGAGGGCAAGCGGGTTAGGGGGAGACAGAAAGTTAGGTTGGTAGATGAGATTAAGAAGTTTGAGGGTGTAAAGTGCCAGCAGCAAGCACAGGACTGAGTTGACTGGCGGAATATGGGAGAGGCCTTTGTTCTGCAGTGCACGTAGCCAAGCTGCTGCTGCTGCTGCTGCTGCTGCTGCTGCTGCTGCTGCTGCTGCTGCTGCTGCTAATGATGATGATGATTGTGATGATGATGATATAGCGACTGTCATACTTTTGCTATACGTCTAGCAATGTTCCGCAGCGCGGCAGTTGTAAAATAGATCCTTTGCCTTTGCCGTAGCTGTTGCCTTTCTTGAACTGCTCCTTCTATAGGACATTTCCGTGGCACCTTTCGTGTCTGAAATATTGGTCCGAAGGTGTAAAGGCGCGCTCTCACAGAATGCCCTTCTGTCGCACTAGCAGATGCTATCCCATCGCTGACAAAAGGGTGAGCTTTCGCATTGAACCTCTTTGATCACACGACGATGTGCTCATTGCGCCCGCCCACTAGATCGACACGTGGAATACTATATACCGTGCTGCAAAGCCAGCACCATTGCTACTTTGCATGGCATGTCACGGCCACGATGGCACCGTTCCACGGTGGTCGAGGCTATTTGCGTTTTCTTCCGGCGACTAAAATCGGTTTTGGCGTTGGCACGACGAGGGCTTTATTTAAACGCGATAGCGTTAGAGAGCTCGTGTCGCAGAAATTCCGCCGTGGTTGTGAAAGCGAAATTGTCCGTGAGTGAAAAATTGAAACAGAAGCAAATAACATAACGAATAAAATTTTCGGTCCCATTGAGGATCGAATTCGGGGCGTTCGCGTAGCAAGTAGGTGTCTTACCACAAAGCTACGGTGTTACTTACAGCTCCTTCGCGAAAAAAAAAAAACTCTTTATAAATGCCATGTAGTAGAAGGAGTCTTCTTAACCCATTTTGTTCGACAGGTGGCCCGACGGAAATAAGCCCATTCGGCGATTCGTAGGTGCATTTGGGAGGCCATCAAACTACGTCGAAAAAGGCCGGGATAGTGCATCTGTCGCCGTTAAAAACACACAATAACGCTCAAACAGCTCTAAAAATGCACAACTATGTCCATCTAGCGGAAAACATATCATGCCTTTCCAGAGGCGTTGATCAAGCAAACAGCAATCGCTAGATAAGCTGCCATCTGCGAGGCATTGTGAAACTCTTCATGGCTGCTGAGATAGCAAGCGCGCGGCGTGTATCGTGGAGACCATGCGACTCTTGCGTTCGATCAAAAACTTGTATGTAGCATTCGCGCGCGCGCGCTGGTACAACCCAGTGTGTGTGTGTTTGTTTATATTTGTGTATGTGCGCAACAATACATATTATTAAGTATTCACCTAGTGGCTGAAGGGTGCACTAGGGGCCGCATTTTGCTTTCGCGTTGAACTCTCGAAGGCAAAGCTCAAGGGTCCCCCAATTTTTTATTCTATCTTGTGACGTGATGTGACGTTTCGGCGATCTCTTGGCCAACAGGAAACTTTTCATTGCGAATGGGGCCTGAATGTTTCGCAATTCGTCACACCGGCGTTGAGTCTCTGCGCGAGCACCGTGTCAGGCTGCGCTGCGTGGCATAGTGCCATGTCAAGTCACTCATTGAGTGGGCATTTTGCGAACTAGAAGTGCTTTGAACGTGAAATATATTCGAACCTTAAGGGCTCGAAAAGAAAAAAGTCAAGCTCCTTGTATTAAAACTCAGTTTCTCTTGTATAAGTGCATAGCTAGTAAAACTTGCCATTTGTCTCCGTGTTTATGCCATGATTCGTTGAGGCTTCTTTTGTACGCTTTTGTGTGATTATATCAATGCGAATATTTGTGTACTCACGATCATGCAATTTCTCAAACTTCAGTTGATATATAAACTGAGACAACTAATGTTTACTTTAACCTACTGTTCTTTGCATGGCGCCCTAAAGCAGCTGACTTGTTGCTCATAAACCTTTTTTCTGTCTTTTGCAGTGCCCTTATCAGCACATAAACGCCAAAGATGAAGTCAAAGATAAGATGAAGTTCAATTCTGCTTTTTACGTGCCGAAAATCTAAGCAACTTTTCAAATAAAAACTTTTTGAAAAAAAAAAATTCCTGTGTATGTGAACTTTCGTGCATGCATCAAAAAGGCATGTGGATCATTTTATTTAGAATGCTAGTGATAGGGATTATTTTTTGTGCGTATTTCAGGCACATTCTTAGTAGCAAAGTTTGTTTGAAGTATCACGTATAACAGCACCACTGCCGTCACGTTGTTGACTGCAGATTCATCATCTGATGTTTTCTGGTGCATAAAATCATGCTTGGCGTGGATTGCACCTCGCACCGTTTGCTGGTCAGTTGCGTTTAGTACAAGCACATGTATATCCAAGCTTAAGCGTTTGTTTAGTCGTCAGACTGCAATTGAGGTGAAGACACTCTGTTATTCAATTTCCTGCTAGTACGTGCAGTTTCACCGCAATAAGGCTTTGTCTAGATGTTTTGGCATTGCAAAAACATGTCTGACTGAGCAGTGCGTATGCCACATGATAGCCGCACCTTGTTTTCATGTCAGACGTTTCACCAACGTTCTCGCTCGAAGGGCATATAGAAAAACGTTTTATATGGTTGCGAACTATTTAAACGCTTTTAGTATGTTGTCAGTGCAGTAATGAATGCGGACCATATTTTTGCATACTGCAAGCACTTTATGCGTATATCTATCTATCTATCTATCTATCTATCTATCTATCTATCTATCTATCTATCTATCTATCTATCTATCTATCTATCTATCTATCTATCTGTCTGTCTGTCTGTCTGTCTGTCTATCTATCTGTCTGTCTGTCTGTCTGTCTGTCTGTCTGTCTGTCTATCTATCTATCTATCTATCTATCTATCTATCTATCTATCTATCTATCTATCTATCTATCTATCTATCTATCTATCTATCTATCTATCTATCTATCTATCTATCTATCTATCTATCTATCTATCCATCTATCTAGCTGCTTACTTCTGGGTGCTCTCGTGATCACGCCATAACTTGATTGATATATGGGGTTTAACGTCCCAAAACCACCATATGATTATGAGAGACATTGTAGTGGAGGGCTCCGGAAATTTCGACCACCTGGGGTTCTTTAACGTGCACCCAAATCTGAGCACACGGGCCTACAACATTTTCGCCTCCATCGGAAATGCAGCCGCCGCAGCCGGGATACGAACCCGCGACCTGCGGGTCAGCAGCCGAGTACCTTAGCCACTAGACTACCGCGGCGGGGCATCACGCCATAACTTGGCGTGAACCGAAATGAGTATGGAAGGATGAGATGGTTCGACAAGTATGACGCCCTGGTCAAGACAAGAATGTCATAATCCTGTCGCGTACGTCGTCAAACACTTCCCGCCAGGCAGTGGCAGATACCCGGGCGCGGGTATGTACCGCTCATATGCAGGTATGCGCCACAGGTGATGGACAATCCATTTCTATCCAGGAATGACGAGAACACAAATGGGCAATTTTAATGCGTGAGGGTTAAGAAATACCTGACATGAGCAGCCTTGACACGACGAATTGCCAGGGTCCCAGCAGGAATTGAGCCCAAGCATTCTGCGTGCAAACGAGCATTCTACCACGAAGCCATGCCAGGACTCGGAACTACTTTTTAAATAGACCCTAATGTTCGTGAAACGCCAATTTTGATTGCAGCGCTGGCTATCGAATTTTATAAACTTTACATATCTAGGGTAGGGTGGGGTAAAATGAGACACGGGGCAAAACGCGACATTTTAACTTTGGACATCTGTATGACGAATACAAGAACTACTTTTCTATGGTTGTCTATTTCAGTGATAATCTCTGGTAGTTGTCCACAATTTCTGATGTAAAAGTTACTGGTTGCTTACAGCGTTCACGTGGTAAAAAATGCGCCGATGATATCAGTGAATTAGTGACCCTCTAAAAAGGCGCGAAATTGTGTTCGGCCAACCTTTCCAATTCATGCAGGAAGCTACTGCAGCGTCAATACGACAACTTGAGTATTTGTTTTGTTATTTTATGCGTCTAGCTACATGCCACAAAACGTTTAGTTCATTTAGTGCAGTGGTTCAAAGGAGAATGTTTTTCATTGGGACATGTGACTAAGGCAAAACCCGATAAAATGGCATGCAATTGTCTTAAAAGTTGTCTATTAATTTTACCACTAACACACACTCATTTTATATTAAAATTCTTTGTTTAGGAGAGTTCCGATGTGCTAGAGAATATCATATAGAGCTTGCTGGGAGGAAAATGACATTGAAAAAAAGCTTCAGGACATGACAACCTTTATTCACAATTCATCGAGGTTTTTCCGTGTTCCCAAGAATGCTCTCAAGAGGTGCATAAAAATGGCGAAATCTCCAAGGCAAGTTGTTCACTGCCTAGTTTTGGAATGGAGTATTAATGACATTTCTCTAATACCCTAATCTAAAAAAAAATAAGCGCAAAAATTTGAAGTTAGCTCAGTTTTAAATTAACTGCCTCACAAAGCCTGGCTGACGTAGTTGAAAGCCATGAAATGCCTGAGCAGTTCTGCATCAAAATGCCAAAAAGAGGCAAAGAAGATACGTCTGAACAAATCTAGCATCCAAGCGTTGATTAACCCATTGAGGTTCTACAGAAGACAACTTAAACACAAAGAAATGCTGGTGGTGTTTGATCTGCAAGCTTCGGAGCAACAGAGCACCGGGTTATGTGTGAATTCAACGCGTAGTCTGCAAGTAAGAGGTTCTTTAAGACTGCGTAAAAGCCCACGGAGTGAATTTTAAGGTTTCGTACTCCAAGAAAAGAAGAAATAAATGTTTTAACACTGTTTTTTTTTTTTTGCCCCATGCAGCGTCTCGTTTTTTCACGCTACTTGGGGCAAAATGACACAAGTGGAGTTTTTTTTTCTTTATTTTTAAAATCGTCTTTTTAATGGTGGAAACATGGTAATATACATGTAGCACATACTTTTTACCGAAATGAAAGTGTGAAAAAAAATAGGAGTGAAAAAATACGTGAAATAAAAAATATTCACTATTTCAAAATTTTTGTCTCATTTTACCCCAGCGTACCATACTCGAGGTAAAGGTTGCGCTGCAAAGGACGAAAAAAAATTGGACTAAGACAGACAAAGCGCATAATTTACTCTAAATTACAGTCAGACTTGACTTTGCAGCGCAGCCTTTACCTACAGTTTCTTCCAACTAACCCCCACACAAGCTTTGCTCTCCTGCTCCAATGATATAGTTGTCACGTAGGGTTAACGTCAACTGTAGTTAGGTGTCATGCGCTTAAGTAGATATATAGTGCAGTGCCCAGGGCTATCATCCTGGCGAGAAACAACGCTTCATATCAGCTTATCGCTTCTGGTGGTGCTAATATTCATGGTCCTGTTGCCATTGTTTCCCAAGTACAAACAACTGGTTATATAAACATCTGCAACTCTTCAACATATGTTTCTGCGTGCAACATTTAAACGTATATTTAGCGTCATTTTATGGCATGTCGTTCTATGAAAAAATTACGGGACTGTCACCTTCTCTCCGCATGTTTCGCATAAGATTGATTCTGAAGGTGCGTGGCATGCCGAATTTTTCAGGAACTGTACTTATAACCATTTAATTATATGACAATATTTGGTTTATCGATCAGCTCTGATTCGGCAGCATCACAACCTCAACAGCAAATTTTCAACAACATTTATTCAATTCCATAAAGCACTTGATCTGAGCCTTACAATTCAATGTAACGTATTCATTACTAAGCGTTACACTTCCCGTGTTATATAGTTGCCCGTGAGGCGTTCTTCTCTGAACCTAAAAACACAGCTGCGATGCACACAGGAGAAAATATCCTGTCTTTTCTAATAAATTGCGGCTTCTCCGTTCTTCATCTTTTTGCACTAAACGGCAACTTAATTGTCTCACGTAGTCAAGATACTTTGATGGGGTAGTCAGTAACTGTACCAGCACATACATCACTCCTGTCAGAAAGATGTTGACAGTGAAAGAAAGAAAGGAAGAAACGGAGCAAGAAATAAAGCATATCATATAATCTTGTAAACAAAGGGTGATAGAAAACGGCAGTGAGGGTGAGAGAAGGAGAACGCTAAAGTATGAAAAAGCCAGCGTTGCGACGTTCATATTCGTGGCAGCCAAAAACTGCCAGTTGCGTGTAGCAATACAACCGATAAGCGAAGCTTCCTGGGAATTGGATAGAAACGACTGTGCCTGATCTCGCTGCTCGTGCGCAGGGCAACGTGATCCAACCCAGGCCACGTGATGACAACTCAAGGCAGTAATGCTACAATGGGGCAGCGAGTGACATCACAGGCACCGTTCTAGAAGAGGTGTTGCTCCAGTCAATACATTGGGCCCCCGAAGCGGCCTCGGCCGTACTACACAATCTGGTTTCAGCAAGGTACAAGCAAGTGATGTGCTTGCGCAGCGAAATATGTAGCTCTACAGGAAATCGCCTCAAATTTGATAACATTGAGACATTTGCAGTGCTTAGGTTCTACGTGTGAGCAGAACGTGATATGTTTATTTTACGTCGCATATATGTAGTATGCATCTAGACGCTGTATTACCAACACGTGGGCTTAGAAGCCAACACGGCAGCACCCTGCAGCCGCGAACGCCCACTTTGATCCGAAGTCGCACCTGCTACTCGCCTACTATCTTCGCCGCAATCAATAAATGGAGAAATTGGCTATCGCTTCATGCCATTTTAAGCTGGGGACAAAACACAAAGTATGATCTGTCTCTAATAGTGAGATTAGCTGTGTTAATTTAGTCATGCCTAATATGCCTTGTCTTCGCGAATCTGGAAATCAATATTCGAAACACAGTAAAATACCGACGAATACAGTGCTGTCGAAGCTTCAGTACGTAAATTGCAAGCAACCAAGCGCGCTGGTTGTGAACTTACGGGCTACAGAGTGCTTAGGCGGAAAAAAACTAAATTCACTTGTGATGGCTAGAGTGCCGAAAAGTGTAGTTGCACCTGAATGGGCTCGTGCTTTCTGTCGTTGTTAATGTGCAACGCTGCCTGGATACTGCCAGT